GTTGGATTGTTTCCCCGGTACATTAGTATGGAGAGAAGTATATGTTATATTATAGTTATAGTTATATGTATATATATATATATATGTGTGTGTATATGGGTTGATGAGAGTTGCATATCTTTGGGAGCAGAGTTGTGGTTTTGAGATTTGGAGATTTATTGGACTTTGGGATTATGTGTTTTGAGTATTTGGGTCATGAATTGTGAAACTGTATGCTAGAGCATTATTTTTACACGGTGGGGTTATTATGTTGTTTTAAATGCAAACTTTATTTTTGTCCACTCACATATTTCTGTTTTGCGCCCCCCAGGCAGTAGTTGCTCTTGGAAGCGTTCGAGCAGGTTGCGAGCTCAAAACATTCCATCTGTAGATAGGACTTATGTAAATTCCTTCTAAACAACTATTTGTTGTAAATAAATTCTGTTAGATGCTCTGTTATCGCCCATGTTAGGTTGTTATTTGAGGCCGGAGGCCACTTTATTTTGGATTGTTGTATGTTGAAAGCATGCTGGCAGTTGGGATTTATATTATGTAAATTATGCAGGTTGAATGTTGTTGGGTTTGAGCATTTTACAGGGGAGACTCTGCCAAAATTTTGGTAGGATGTCTCGGGTTTTTAGTAAGTGGGCCCGGCATCGGTGTGATGTCGGCACCAAGACGGGGTCCGCCCCGGTTTCAGGGGAAATTCTGGGGCGGGTCCTGTCAAGCAACTACACAAGCTGTTTGGCTTAGATTTGTGCTATCAGATTTTGGAGAGGAACATGTAGAACCAACTCAGTTGCTGTGTGACAACACTTCGGCTATTGCTATATCAAAGAATCCGGTTCATCACCACAAAACCAGGCACATCAATCGCAAGTTTCATTTCATTCGAGATGCTCTTCAGAATGGTGAGATCGATTTGCTTTATTGCAAAACTGAAGAATAGGTTGCTGATATATTCACCAAGCCATTAGCAAGGGATCGGTTTGAGTATCGAAGGAAGGCTTTAGGTGTTATCTCAGCACAACACTTAGAAGGGAGTGTTAGTTTATAAGTGCAGCTGCGTTGGATAACAGTCCAACTGTACAGCTAGGATGTAATAGTGTATGCCACGTGTCTCTATCTCATAGGATAGTGAATGAATGGCTAAGATTTGAATGATGTAAGAGGAATGTTCTATTCCTAACGGTTTTGTCAGAAGGCAATATACGCATGAATTGTTTGGAGCTGAGCTAGTATCCAGCTAGCTCTTCTTCTTCCCTAAGCTCTCTCTCTCATTTTCTTTTAGCTCTCATTTTCTCATCTAAGAATTAAAATACAAGATAATAGTCTGTGTATTCTAACAGATATGGTACAAGAGTACACCAAGCAAAGTTGTGTGGGTTGCAAACAGAAACAATCCACTTACTGGTTTATATGGGAATCTGACTATCAGCAACGACGGAAACTTTGTTCTTCTCAATCGAAATGGGAGCAGCATTTGGTCTTCAAATATATCAAGAATCCCAAAAAGTTCAGTTGTACAGCTCTTGGACTCTGGAAATCTTGTTCTAAGGACAATGTTAGCACAAGTTCTGGAAGTTACTTATGGCAGAGCTTTGATTATCCATCTGATACATTGTTACCAGACATGAAGATAAGCTGGAACATAAACACCGGTTCAGAACGGTATTTGACATCATGGAAAAGCACTGATGATCCATCTACTGGCAACTTCTCTTATAAAATTAATATGAAAGGGTTACCACAATTAGTTGTTGTCATGGGATCAATCATAAAGTTCCGTACAGAGCCATGGAATGGAGTTCGATTCAATGGTCTTCCCAGGCCAGCCAACTCTGCTTTCCATCAAATTATTATGGGATTTAAAGAAGACGAGTGGTATTACAAGTTTGAGCCTAATAAGAATGTGGCTGCCTCATAATTAGTGATGAATCAATCAGGTTCTGTGCAGCGGCTTGTATTGAATGCTGAGAGTACTGAATGGGCTATTATGTATTCATTACCAAATGATCCATGTGACAATTATGGATACTGTGGTGCTAATAGTATTTGTAGAAACAGTCATTCCATTTGTATGTGTTTGCAAGGGTTCACTCCAAGGTCTCAATAAGAATGGGAAGTACTGTTTAATACAACTAGTGGATGCATGAGGAGGACGCCGTTGGTTTGCCACGGTGGAGAGGGATTTTCACAGCTTCAAGGGTGAAATTGCCTGACATGTTAGAATTTTCACTGAACAAGAGTATGAATCTTGAGGAATGTAGGTTGAAGTGCTTGATGAACTGTTCTTGTACAGCTTATGCTAATTCAGATATTAGTGGAGTAGCCAGTGGTTGCATATGTGGTTTGGGGATCTAGTTGATATCACAGAGTTCATAGATGAAGATAGTGAACAGGATATCTATATAAAATTGCCACCTTCAGAACCAGGTGTTATACCGTCATCTTTGTTTAATTAAAAGCAATTTTAGAGGTCATTCATAATTGTAATAGCTGCATGGTGAATTTGGATGCGCCCGCCCCCCTTATATATATATATATATATAATTTTTATACTGAAAAAAATGTCGTATTTGTTTTAGTGTACAGAATGGATCAGATAGAACCCATATAAAAGGTGAACTCTTTTCAGGGTTAAGCACATTTAGAAAATTTATGAACTGACTGGCAATTGAATCTTGTTCTCCTTTTTTAATCCGATTTATATTTAAGCTAGAAACTGCTTGCTTTATATATTTTGTTGGCCCATTCCTTAACAACGTAAGCTTGTGGGTGCATTCGTTATAGAAAACGAATGTAGCAAGCATTTATGCACGGGTGCCTGGTATTCATAGCAGAGAAACATAATAGTTCTTGACAATGATTGAATGATTTGATGTTGATTGTTCTAGAATCAAGACATGGTTCAGAAAGGAGGAAGAGATGGACAATTGTCATAGCCGTTTCAATCTTTTCTGGCTTCTTTATCTTGGCGCGCTTAAAATCTGGTGCATAATATGGAAGAGAAGAATTTCTAGAAAACATAAGATGGACGAGAAAACAAGAAGGTAACCATTTCGTACTTACAGAAAACAAGAAGGGATATGCTTTCACTGTCCATCTTGCTCATCTGATTATAACAAAAAGTGCATGCTCAATATGTTCACATATAGGGCAGCTTTTCTGCAGGACAAGAAATAGCAGTCTGTCAAAGTACTCCGGTCAGGGTCTACAAGAGTTCAAGAATCAAGTAGTTTTGATTGCAAAACTTCAACACCGGAATCTAGTTTCACTTTTAGGCTGCTGTATTCATGGAGATGAACGGATTAATCTATGAGTATATGTCCAACAGAAGCTTGGATTTCTTTTTCTTTGGTTTGAGCCTCTTGAGCCTTTTGGCATCCAGTTACTTAGATTTTTTAAAATTTCTATTAAATTCCTCCATGAATCCGGGTTTAATCTTTCGTATATAGTTTCGAAGATGAGAGAAAACTGTCCTCTTAACATCTGGTGCAATTTGATTTACAAGGGCTAAATTGATGTGTAGATCATAGAAGAAGTGCTTTATTAAGATGGGAGGCGCGCTTTAACGTTATTATGGGAATTGCAAGAGGCCTTCTTTATTCGCACGAAGATTCTAAACTCAAAATTATTCACAGGGATCTCAAAGCAAGCAATATTTTGTTGGACAGCAACATGACTCCTAAAATTTCAGACTTCGGCTTAGCCAGAGTTTTTGGTGGTGATGAGAACGAAGGAAAAACAAAGAAAGTAGTAAGTTCATTAAATATATATCTTCAGTTGATGCGCATTCATCTATATATATAAAGCAAAAGGCAGAGAATGGTGAAACATTCAAAATACCAAAAAATGCCCTTAGTTAATCCAAACATTAAGAATTAAAATTATACAAATTTATAAATATCCAATCCTAGACATGTATTTATAAAAAAATCCAATCACTATTTAAACATAGAAATACACCCAAAATCAACAATTGTATATTTTTTGGTTGTGTTTATAAATGGGTTTTGAGTGTGTATAATGATGGGTTTTGGGTGTGTTTATAAAGTGTTTTGGGTGTTGGGTTTTTTTATAATTTCAGCCCCCATTTTGGGTGTTTTAGTGAAACTCCCTTAAAATTATTAATTAAATGAGGATAATATGGTAAATTCACACTTTTTATATTAAAAAAATTAAAATTAAAAGAAAAATAAGATAATGAATCATATTTTTATGGAACACAACTACCCATTATCTTTTTTAATTCTAAAATAAATTTTATTTTAAAAAAAAATAGCCTCTCGCAGGTGCGGAAGCGTGTGCGGAGAGGCTAGTATTTATTAGTCAAATAAACTTATATATGAATATCTTGATGCAGCGGCTATATGGTCAAGAGTACGCAGTTGATGGGAAATTTTCTGTAAAATCGAATGTCTTTAGTTTTGGTGTGCAGTCTACCATCCCAATAGACACAACCGCAACCAAATTTGAATATTTGATTTATCTTAACTAAATTGGCCCAAAAACTTTTCCAAACTGCTGAACTACGTTTGTTTGATCCATTCAAAATTGTACGTAGGCAATCTAGGCTCAATCTATGCAACTGCTGTCAAATACAAGTCAAACGGAATCCTTGATTTCTTAACCAAATGTGCCCCAAAACACAATTCAAAATTGAATCCCTGGTTCTTTTAAGCTCAATACAATTCAAATCAAATTTTCCTAGCAATGAGTCATTTATTCATTGCGATTCTTTGAACAACGAGTGGCTTGATTCCCGCAAGGGATACATAGACACCCTAAGATTTAACTTAAGAGCAGCCACAAAACCAAACACACACGTTTTGTTTCTTTATGATGAAATCAAAGGGTGTTCCCTTAAAGCAAGAGATTCTAATTAAGAGACACCACGTCTCGAATGGGTTAAACCTAAAATAATAAAACTCTATTATTTAATTAATGGTGGTGAAATTATGTTGGGAGGTTCACATTTTTCTTCAACACTCCTACTTTTTTCCTTATCCTTTTCATTCTTAATATCATTTAAGATTTAGTTCATTCTGAGCAGCTCTTCAAAGCTCCTACTGTTTTCTTGTAGACTATACATTTTATTTCATAACATAGCCACAAACATACATTTTATAGACTTTGGGTTTGGACTTAATTTAGATTGATTGATATTAAATATTTAGCCCTCAAATTTACATATTAGCCGTTGGATGTGTTTTTTTTTAATTGTCGAGATTGAATGGATTAATCATGGCCATGAGATGAAGCTTAATCAGCATTACTATTATGATTTTTTATAATAATAAAGAGTTATAGTAGGATTTTGAAGAAATTTAGTTTGAATTCTAGTTTGAGGTGCCCTCTTGGACTGAAATTCATGGTTTTGTTTTTTCATAGCAAACGTTTCAAACTAATCATTTCATTCCCAGGCAACGTCTATGGTGCACCCGGTGCACCGATGTGCCCATTTTTATCACTCTCTCCACAACGACTAAAAATCACCCATCTCAACTGTCAACTCCTCTATTTCTTGACGACAGTGACTGAGTCTTCCTCCCATGTACAGATTGCTCAGCTTTCTTCTCTCTCTCGATTGTGAGATGGCTTGATGCAAACTGCGCGCGCCATCTTCTATCTCATCTCAGCCCAGGTATAATGTGTTACTACTGTATATTCATATCTTGGACCCCATCTCATTACAGATTTAATATCCACTCAAAGCCTCACCCTCTAGCAATGATCATTTTCCTTGATTTTGATTTTTTGATTTTTTTACTCCCTTGTATTTCTTGTTGAGCCTAATATTTTCTAGATTTTATGTTATGCTGCATGTTTTTAGTTGAATTAACTCTCATGATCCACTTGGTATGCAATTTTAGATTGAAATTCCAATTTTTTGGTGGGCTGTTACTTAACCTGCTCGTGTTCTCAGGGTGGTTTGAGTTTATATTTATTTTTGTGTTTGTCATTCTCTGTTGTTTTGCTGGCCTTTGGTGTCTTTAGCTGATGCTTTAATGAAGCTTCAATGACCAAAAAATAAAAAGACTACCGGAGATATATAGTTGGAAATATGAAGGAAAAAAATTGTTTGGTCTGTTAGTGTTTGTTTTTATAGTAAATTTGGCTTACACCCTTTAAATTCAATTTGCCATACCTAAAACCCTTCACTTTTTGTTCCTATAAATAATACCCAATTTGTATAAGTAAAAACCCATGACTAGGATCCAACTCATCAAGTTACCTAATTAAGCATAAAATCTGATTTATTGTACTTTTCAGATTCCAAAAATACCCTCAACTAAGCCATTATTGCATTTTGTATATTAATGTAGGAATCAATATGGAAACAGTTTTTAATTAGATTGTATATAATGACAGATGTTGAATTTGGAAAGATCTCCAAATGGTTGTAATGGATGTAGGAATTAATTTTGAAACATTTTTTAAAAAATTTAACAATAAATTCAAATTTAGGTAATCGGTTTGTTTAATAAAATGTTTATGTTATTTTCTTTTTATGAATTATACATGACTAATAATCCACTTTA